CAGACACCTATCTCAAGTGTTCAAGCTGAGACATTAGGCCAGTTCTAAATTGGGAAGTTGGTAGCTCCCCAGCCTAGAACAAAGCTTCCTGCCCATTCCCCCACTGTCATGTGCCAAACAAGGAGAACTGCAATTTTCTCAAGTTTTTTCTGATCATACGACTATTGTTCACTATAGTAAACTTGGAAGCTAAAGAAAAGCATTTTAAAAAGATCCTCTCTACTTAGAAATAATCTGTATTTTTGTGCCTTAATTTTAAATTGGAATATTATGTATACAGTTGACCCTTAAGTAACACAGGTTTGGACTACACAGGTCTACTCATACACAGATTTTTTAAGATAAATCTGATACAGTACTATAAATGTATTTTCTCTTCCTAAGGATTGTGTCACATTTTTTTCTCCAGCTTACATCATTGTAAGAATACGGTGTATAACACATATAACGTACAAAATGTTTACTATGTTGTTGGTAAGACTTCCAGTCAACAGGCTGTAGTACTGAAGTATTTGGAGAGTCACAAATTCTATGGGGGATTTTTGACTCTGCAGGGGGTTGGCTAGAGTCCTAGCCCCCTCATTGTTGAAAGGTCAGCCGCAGTTTGTGACCTATTTTTTTTTCCATTTAATGTTTTTTTTCCCCTGAAAACATTTACAACAGCTGTAGAATACTTTCATATGAACCACAGATTAACCATTCCCTCCAAGTTTCCTCTATTAAATACTAGAAAGGACTATGTGAACCAGTATGTTTTCATCATTATGGAAAAGGGATATGGCAGCCCTTTTAAGGCTGTTTATACTTATATACAAGTTGCCTTTTAGAAAGAAAAATTGTACAAATTCTAACCAGTACTATTTCCTCATGGCACTCTTGCCAGAATTAAATTTATCAATTTGATAAAAGAACATTTATAACATTAACAACTGTGAAGTTGAACACTTTTTCATGTTTATTAACCACTTTTAAGCCATTGAAAGATTATGAGTGGAGTAATCTTTCGAAATGCGTATCTGCTCATATCAAACACCTCCTGCTTGAAAGATTTCAAGTTTTTCTTTACAAAATGTATTGCCCTAAGAAGTCTCCACCAGTCTTCACTCTAGCCAATTTAGGCTTGGGGTTGCCACGCTTTGAGACCACAGACCATTTGCACCTCTTTCCTCTGCCAGCTCCTTGCTCCTTGCTTAGTTCTTTTCTTTAGCTCTTAAGTGCCATTTCTCCCAGGGATTCTCACTGATCACTGTTAAGTCCAATTACCCTATCACAGATCCTTGGATCACCTTATAGTCCTGTCATTCCTTACCAGTTATATAGATAGATGTTATTTCCACATTATGTAGCTCTGTGAGTAGAAACAGTATTGTTTTGCTTACTCTTCCCTAGTGTGTAACACACGAGGTGGGCACTCTGTTGAATGATGCTGTGTTATCAGAAGATTAGTCTTTAGTGTCTACAATGAACTGGTGCATAGAGAATCTAAATCATAGTTGGGACTATTAAAAGAGATCAGATGGCAACACTCTGGGAACTAAAGGAGTTGGATTTCACTGCAAAGGAATTCCAGTTTGATATAGAGAAAACAGCAATTGTTTGAGAGAATGGAGATGGGATGTGAATGGAAAATGCATGAAAGATGGCTTCAATATTAAAACCTTAATATCTCCAGGACAGGAAATATGAAGTACTGTTAAAAAGGCAATGAAGAGGTGCGCCTGGGCGGCTCAGTCAGTTAAGGGTCCAACATTGGCTCAGGTCATGACCTTGCAGTGCGTGGTTTCGAGACATGTGTCGGGTCTGAACTGTTAGCTCAGAGCCTGGAGCCTTTTTTGGCTTCTGTGTCTCCCTCTCTCTCTGCACGTTCCTTCTCTCTTTCTCAAAAATAAATTTAAAAACTTAAATTTTTTTTAAGTAACAGTACGTACGATATGTAATAGAATACTATATAGCCGTTAAACATCATGCTGTAGAATTTTTATTAAAATGTAAACTTCTAAATACATCATTAAGTGAAAAGAGTAAGTTACAACATAGTTCTGGGCAGTTTGATTGGCATTATTACCTTTAAATGGCAGGATTACAGGTGATTTTTCTCATTTTTCCGTTTCTTCTACAAGTTTTTTTTAAATAAAGCTTTTCTAATTTCCTACGATTTTGTAATTAGGAAAAAATGCTATTAAAATATATGCTTATAGCTAACTCTAAGCTTGCTTTACAACTTGGACATTAATTTATGATGCTAGTTATGTGTACAAATCTGGGAAATACTTCAACATGTCTTTGGAAACAGTTATAATGAGGCAAAAGTCAGCATTTCCCAGGAATCATAACAATAAAATGTTAAAGACACTTCTTTGTTTATCAAAAGAATTTATTAGAAAATATTACATACTACATTTCTGTTTTAAGAGTATTGTTTCAGTAGACAGAACTCCATCCTTGTACTACAAACAAGGTCTCATGGACCATGGGGCAACCACTGTGCTTCTGAAGCTGTATCTTTTGGATGGAACATTCAAACAGTACACACTGTGGCCATTTAATGGAAGATAATGGAGAAAATGTGGTAACCAGGAAAAAAAGAAATCACAAAACTTTTGGAATGTTAAAATAGTAAGTAACTACTTTTAGTCAAAATTCTAGGCATCACTATAGCCTAAAACATTGGTCAATGTGACTAGTAAGTTAATGGGACCAAGGTTTCAAAGGTCAAGTTAATACTGAATCTTAATAAATAACGAGAAATTCAGAATTCCACAAAATGTTTTTGATTCAGTTTGTGCACATGCAAAATTAATGTAGATTTCTGAGAAAAGCAAGAATGGGGAATGTTAAAGCGTTTTGTTTTTTTTTTAAACATAAAGCATGCACTTTCTAATACATTCTTAAGTATTTCTAAGTTTTAAAAGTTTGAATTCTAATCCAGTAACATTCTTCATGAGCATTTTAAATGCAGTCTAACCAAGTACCCCAAGCAGATATGGAATACACACTTGTTATTTTCAAGACAGGTGGAAATAATTCATGGCACTGCAACCAAAGATGTGAGACTTGACCATCATACCACCTAGTTTTTCTTCAAAACTTTTAAATGGTATAAAGCAAATTTTAAAATATAACTGTATTCCCAAACATCACTGAAAGAAAATGTAGGAAAAGTATGCACTGTGTGATTAATCATCTTAGGCAATTTGCTACAAAATTTTCAGTGTGAACCAGCTTTAACTGAAAACAGATTGAAAATTCACACAATTGTTTCTAGAGTTCAAAACAAACAAATGAGGAGGTGTGTGTTGATATTTAAAACAGTCTTAATATTTTATTAGAAGAAATATACTTCTAAACTTCTTTCCCCTTCATATCTAAACACAAACTTTAATTAAAAATATATATATAAATCAGTAGAATACCATATTACAAATGCCCAGAAATGCAGAATAAAGATCAAGACTGCTTGGAAATATTTCTAACACTTTTTGGAATTACACTCTTAATCTAGTAAAGATTATGAACTAGCACAATCATTATTGGGGCCAACAGTTCAAAATATTTGCCTTATCAAAGCTAGCACCAAGAAAGTATTATGCACATAAACTTGAGAAACAGATCATCTTTACTTCAGAAAAGCACAGTCCTACAGAGTATTGCTCTCTCTAGTTTAGCTAATACAAGGGTCATTCTGTCTCACTGATGCATATATCTTTCTGAGCCATTAACATCTTATCTGAATAGCTTTTGTTATTTGGTATCTATTGAAAATTATTACTGGAATGAAAGACAGTTTATCATGGATAACCCATTTTTTTCTTCTAAGATGCCAATTAAAATAGTGGCTCTATAACCTTCTGAACTTACCTTTTGTAAAAATTAACACATTCTAGTATTTAAAAAAAGACAATCAAATCCCTAGTCCCTGAAAGCCTAACCAAGACTCCATTAAGTCCTCTCCCTTTCCAAAACCCAGGTTTTAATGTCTAGAATTTTGCAACATGGTTAATGGCCACCATATGGTCACCTAATTAACACTTTACTCACTGTAAAGCATTTGGATACTTCTCAAGTGTAAAAAGAAATTCATTAGTGATCAGATAGATGAGCCAATGAAAGCCACTGAAGTGCGTCTCATAATTCTACCTTCATCCCAAGGAAGGCAGGGTCACCACTCAACTGCAATTCTCCAGTTGGCACAGATAATTTATCATTTCTCTGACAGGTAGAAGATATCATGAAAGTACATAATTTTTATAAAGTCAACACTTTTTCCAAACTGTTCTTCTATATTCCACAAAGAGTTTTAGACTTCCAAAATTGTAAATCTAGCAAATCAAACTGCTTCATTTCAATTGGTGGGGAAAAAAGGCACAAAAGAAAAACAAGCAGCATAACCTTTATTTGGTGATACAGTAACAGTGTTCCAAAGTTTTGAACACTGAATTTTACTCAGGTGATAATCTGTTTTCTATCTAAGCAATTTATTCAGACGTGTGTTTTAAAAATACACATTAGGAACCCTGCAACTGGTATATTCTGTTATTAGAAATATTCTTCATGGTAATACATTATTTAACTTTCTATAAAGGGAAAAATCATAAAGATCATTCATACTTTATTTTTAGCCTGACAGAATAAATGTATTATATATATCTTTTCCAAAACCAGTGCACTTAGAAGACTCTAATTTATGCACTCCATTGTTCAAATCAAAAAGCTGTACATCTTCCAGTATCCACACTATAAGAATCCTAGTAAAAATGCACACTCCTTTAACCCCTTTACTTTCCCTTGAATTGCTTTCATTTTCGGGAGGAGGAAAGGATAAAGAAGTTGCAGTGCAGAACTATATTTATTTAGAACAAAACTTTATATTCTACATTAAAAAAAATAATTTTATCAAAACCAAATTTCAATCACAGTTATGTATGATTTTCAGTTAAAGGTACAAGTTGAAATTGCACTTTGCAGATATCTTGATAGTGTCCTTTACAGTGCTCCCCATTTCAACCTATGTTTTTTTCGGTGGACACAGGTTCTTCCAGGGTTTTCTTTTGGCTTCCCTTCCGTGAATATTTGTATTTGTCTACATAGGCTTTAACCAGATTTGCCACTTTAGTAGAATTTACTTCTCCACTTTTACTATGACAAACCTACGAAAAAAGGAAGGGGAATATTTTTCTCATCCTTTATAAGGATTAAAGCAAAATGGAAAGATTTGTGAAAACCAACCCCAAAGAGATAATCAGACATTTTTATGTTCCATATCTCACAAGATCTTACTCAAAAGGCAGAAAAGCAGACCAGAATTAGAAGTTAGTGGTTATTATTTTAATTAGACTTAAGCATTCCTTTATTAAAATAGAGATGATTCAAAACAATTACATATATAACTCTGCTAAAGCTAGAACTTACTTTATCTACTGCTTTCCGTACAATCTCTTTATATTCTTCCTTGGTGATATCTTTATTTTGGTAAAATGGCTTAATGGCCAATTTTACCTCCTGTGCTGCTTTTTCTTGGATTTGTAATTTCTGGTAAGAGGAAAAAGTAAAATTATTATTTGCCCACATACTTTAAAAAAATTTCTTTTAAAATATGAAATTAAAAACACCTCACTTTTATATTATTTCAAGGAATTCTTCACATAACAATGTCATGAATACAAAAGCTATTAACACACATACCAAACATTTCTAAAAATAATTATGAAATATTACCAGTAACTCACTGGACATCAACATATCTAGACAGAACCCTTCAAACAGCATTGGAATTCAAGACTATCAACAGTAAATTCCCTTTACCAATTATACAATATATATTTTTATCTTTAGCATATACAGAATTATGTAGGTTGCTCTCAACCTTGAACTTGCCTTGTCTGTCTTCGAGCTATCTGCGCTGGCTTCCACTGTAACACTTACTTTGCTTTCTGTCAATTTTACAGCAGCATTAGAGGCTTTGCTGTGACTTGATGATGAAGTATTACCAGAACTTGGTCCCTGAACTGTTCCCAAATTTCCTGGGGCTGCGGTCGGAGCAGGCAAGACTGGTGTACTCATGTTATTACTTACATGAGAAGCACTAGGAACGCCCTGTTTTAAAGAGTTATCATTAGTTAATGAATTACTGTATTCTTTTAGCCATATATTAGAAATAACAAAAAAAATTCAAAGTGAGTCAAAATTCATATTTCAGGTCATGTATATCTAAAGGACTCTGAAGAAAAATAAGTAACATTCTCAAACAGAGACCTATGTAAATATGTCAAGTGACTTTTAAATTACACATGTGACTTGTGATGTTCTGACAGCAACACTAAAAGCAACAAGAAGGAAAAGAATAGCACTTAAAAAAGTTATCTTTTCCAAAAGGCTCTTTCTGAAAATTAACTAAAGTGTGTGCCCCCACTTTAAAGACGGAAGAAAAGGAGACAGTGAAGTCAAATAGCTTGCAGAGAGCTGACAGCAGAAAAATGTATGAGGTCCCAAATTCTAGAACCCTATCCCCCTTATCTTCCAATTATACACTATCAGGATTCTAGAATTTGTGAAATGCGGGCACAGAACTATAAGGAACACAGTGTTTACAAAGTAGTATTCAAATTTCTATATGCCTCAGAGGCACTTCTTTTTTTTGAACACGGTAACTCATGAACATGAAATACAGACAGTAATGGATAATGAACAGCTTTCTCTGGCGTTTGTCCCAAGAAGACAATAAAAGCATCACCACAAGTTCCCACCCCCTAAAAAGTCTAATAAATTAAGAATTATTTTAAAACACCCACCATTTGATTCTCAAAATTTTGTCTTAACCTGAAAAAACAAACCTGTTTGGACATAAACAACAGCATATATGTAGCTTTGGTTCAATAATATGCATCCAATTCATTTTATTTGAAGAGTGGGAGGTTTGAGGAAGGACAGTGAAGAGGGGCTATGAAAGTTTACCGTAAACCTAATCAAATAATTGTTTGGGGATGCCAGGAAACCCTCTTTTGAACATCTGTTGCTAACAGTTAAATTCTTATAGTGACTATGTTGATTACACTTTAGATGCTAAAAACATACCTGCAATTGCTTTCCATCTGGCTGTGAAGCAATGTAGCTGACTTGCTGGGATGGTGGGGGAGGGGGTGGTGGCGGTGGCAGTCCCTGAGATACACTTGTAGGAGCAGCTACCTGCATGAGAGGCACACCTGTGTGCAGATGCAAGGGTAGCGGAGGATGAATGTTAAATGGATTGCGCTGGATGTTCATCAAAGGAGCGTGAACACCCACTGGATATGGGAAGATATTCATAGGCGGCTGCTGTGCAGTCATTTGTTGCTGCATTACATTCATTTGTGGTTGCATCATATTTATAGGTAGCTGGGAACCATCTCCATGTTGGTTTGTTTGGTCTTTTAGGTTAGAATCTATCAAAAGAAAAAAGGCTTATAATAAAAAATCATGTTAAAATTTCTTTAGAGAAGCAAAGAACCACTGGTTACAGTAAGAGTCAACAGCAATTAACAGACTCAGAACACCAATCTCCAATCATTTAGTCTAATCCTATCTTTCTAAATAACGTGGACTGGTTAAAAAAAGCATTCAACTAAAATTATTATTAAGAGCAGGTTCATGTTGGTTCAACATTACCAAAGAATCAGTACCTCAAGAAACTTACTAAAGAAGTAATCATATAAAATCTAATCAGGTGGGGCACCTGGGTGGCTCAGTCGGTTGAGTGTCTGACTTCGGCCCAGGTCATGATTTCACAGCTCGTCAGTTCGAGCCCTGCGTCAGGCTCTGTGCTGACAGCTCAGAGCCTGGAGCCTGCTTCGGATTCTGTGTCTCCCTCTCTCTCTAACCCACTCACATTCTGTCTCGGTCTCTCTCAAAAATAAATAAACATTTAAAAAATTTTTTAATCTAATCAGGTTGCTAAATTACAAGAGTAACTTATCTTTTTTTTTTTTAATCTTTAACAAAGCTTTTTTCTTGCAATGTTCTTAAAAAGAAAAGCCAAGGAAAAATAAATTATTAGAAGACTAACTTATTTATATGAGAACAATGATCAAAAAAATTCAAGTGTGCACATCTGAGATAAAAGAAATCAAAGTTGGGACACCTGGGGGGCCCAGTCAGTTAAGCATCTGACTGTTGGTTTCAACTCAAGTCGTCATCTCATGGTTCATGGGACTGAGCCCTGTGTTGGTCTCTGCACTCACAACACAGAGCCCGCTTGGGACTGTCTCTCTCCCTCTCTCTCTGCCCCTCTCCCCACTTGCTCACCCTCTCTCTCAAAATAAGCAAACATTAAAAAAAATTTTTTTTAAGATATCAAAGTTAAATCTTACACAAGAACCTCCCAAATTCTTCTAAGGGAAATAATAAAGATTAGAGCAAAAATAAATGATATAGAAATCAAAAAACATCAGAACAGATCAACGAAACTAGGAGTTGGTTCCTTGAAAGAATTAACAACATTGATAACCTCTACCCAGATTTATCAAAAAGAAAAGAGAAAGGACTGAAATAAATAAAATCACGAATGAAAGAGAAGAGATCACAACCAACACTCCAGAAATACAAACAATTATAAGAGAATATTATGAGCAATTATAAGCCAACAAACTGGGCAATCTGGAAGAAATGGATAAATTCCTAGAAACTAAACTACCAAAACTGAAACAAGAAGAAACAGAAGATTTGAACAGACCAATAACCAGCAAAGAAATGGAAACAGTAATCAAAAATCTAACAAGAAGAGTATGAGGCCAGATGGCTTCCCAGGGGAATTCTACCAAACATTTAAAGAAGAGTTAATACTTATTTTTCTGAAACTGTTCCAAAAAAAAAAGAAATGGAAAGAAACTTCCAAATTCATTCTATGAGGCTAGCATTACTTTGATTTCAAATCCAGACAAAGACCTCACTAAAAAGGAGAATTACAGTCCAATATCCCTGATGAACATGGATGCAAAATCTCAACAAGATACTAGCAAACTGAATCTAAACAGCATATTAAAAGAATTATTCACCACAATCAAGTGGGATTTATTACTGGGCTGCAGGGCTGGTTCAATATTCGCAAATCAATCAAATGATATACCACATTAATAAAGGGTAAGAACCACAGGATCTTCTCAATAGATGCAGAAAAACCATTTGACAAAATACAGCATCCATTCTTGATAAAAACCCTCAAAGTAGTAGGGATAGAAGGAACATACCTAAGAACATAAAAGCCATATATGAAAGAACCACAGCTAATATCATCCTAAATGGGGAAAAATAGAGCTTTTCCCCTAAAGTCAGGAACATGACAGAGATGTCCATTCTCACCACTACTGTTCAACATAGTACCAGAGGTCCTAGCCTCAGCAATCAGACAACAAAAAGAAATAAAAGGCATCTATACTGGCAAGGAAGAAGTCAAACTTTCACTATTTGCAGGAGACATGATACTCTATGTAGAACACCCAAGAGACTCCACCAAATAATTACCAGAACCAATACACGAATTCAGCAAAGTCATAGGATATCAAATCAATGTACAGAAATCTGCTGCATTTCTACACACCAATAATGAAGCAGCAGAAAGAGAAATCAAGGAATTGATCCCATTTACAATTGCACCAAAAACCGTAAGATATATATGAATAAACTTAACCTAAGACATAAAACATCTGTACTCTGAAAACTATAGAACACTTATGAAAGAAACTGGAAAAGAGACAAAATGGAAAAACATTCCATGCTCATGGATTGGAAGAATAAATATTGTTAAAATATCGATGCAACCAAAAAAAAACTACACATTCAATACAATCCATTTCTTTCCAAATGCTTTTCCAAAACAAAGCATTTCTCACAGAGCTAGAACAAACAATTCTAAAATTTGTATGGAACCAGAAAAAGACCCCAGTAGCCAAAGCAATCTTGAAAAAAAGCAAAGCAAAGCGGGAGGCATCACAATTCCAGACTTTAAGCTGTATTACAAAGCTGCAATCATCACTGGCACAAAAACAGACACAAAGATCAATGAAACAGAACAGAAAACCTAGAAATGGATTCGTAACTATATATGGTCAACTAATCTTCGACAAAACAGGAAAGAACATCTAATGGAAAAAAGATGGTCTCTTCAACAAACGGTGTTAGGTAAACTAGACAGCAACATGCAAAAGAATGAAACTGGACCATATTCTTACACTATATATAAAAATAAATTCAAAATAGATGAAAGACCTAAATGTGAGACAGGAAACCATCAAAATACTACAGGAGAACACAGGTAGCAACCTCTTTGACCTCAGCTGGAGCAACTTCTTGCTAGACATGTCGTCAGAGGCTAGGGAAACAAAAACAAAACTGAACTCCTGGGACTTCATCAAGATAAAAGTCTCCTGCACCAAGAAGGAAACAATAAAAAAAACTAATGGGAGAAGATATTTGCAAATGACATATCGGATAAAGGGCTAGTATCCAAAATCCATAAAGAACTCATCAAACTCAACACCCAAAAAATAAATAATCCAGTGAAGAAATGGGCAGAGGACATGAACAGACTTTACTCCAAGACACCCAGATGGTCAACAGACACATGAAAAGATAGATGCTCCATATCATTCATCATCAGGGAAATACAAATCAAAACCACAACGAGATATAACCTCACTCACATCTGTCAGAATGGCTAACATGAACAACTCAGGCAACAACAGATGTTGGCGAGGATGTGGAGAAAAGGGGAATCCTTTTGAACTGTTGGTGGGAATGCAAACTGGTACAGCCACTCTGGAAAACAGTATGGAGGTTCCTCAAAAAGTTAAAAATACAACTATCCTATGACCACAACTGCACTACTAGGTATTTATCCAAAGGAAACAAAAATGCTCATTTGAAGGGGCACATGTACCCCAATATTTATAACAGTGCTATCAACAATAGCCAAATCATGGAAAGAGCCCAAAGTCCATCTACTGATGAATGGATAAAGAAGGAATAGAATTTAATGATTCATCACTTATATACAATATCTAGTGCTCATCCTAAGTGCCCTCATTAATTTAACCCAGCACCCATTTAGCCCATCCCTCCACCCAACACCCCTCCAGCAGCCCTCAGTTTGATCACTGAATAATATTCATGGAAAACTCAATGAAATATTACTCAGTGATCAAAAAGAATGAAATCTTGCCATTTTGCAACAACATGGATGCAACTGGAGAGTATTATGTGAAGCGAAATCAGTCGGAAAAAGATATATATCATATGATTTTACTTATACGTGGAATTTAAGAAAGAAAACATGAACACAGGGAAAGGAAAGGTAAAATAAGATAAAAACAGAAAGGGAGGCTTTGGGGCACCCGAGTGGCTCAGTCGGTTAAGTGTCCGACTTCGGCTCAGGTCATGATCTCATGGTTCGCGAGTTCAAGCCCCGCGTCTGGCTCTGGGCTGACAGCTCAGAGCCTGGAGCCCGCTTCAGATTCTGTGTCTCCCTCTGTCTGCCCCTCTGCTGCTTGCACTCTGCCTCTTGCATTGTCTCAAAAATAAATAAACATTAAAACAAAACAAAACAAAACAAAACCCAGAAAGGGAGGCAAACCATAAGAGACTCATTATTTTTTTTAATGTTCATTTCTAAGAGAGAGAGGCAGAGCATGAGCGGGGCAGGCAGGGGTGGGGGGGCACAGAGAGAGAAGGAGACACAGAATCCAGAGTAGGCTCCAGGCTCCGAATTGTCAGCACAGAGCCTGATGTGGGGCTCGAATTCATGAGCTGTGAGATCACGACCTGAGCCAACATCAGACATTTAACCAACTGAGACACCCAGGTGCCCCCATAAGAGACTCTTAAATAAAGAGAACAAACTGAGGGTTGCTAGAGAGGTGTTGGGTGGGGGTATAGGCTAAATGGGTGATGGGTATTAAAGAGGGCACTTGTGATGAGCACTGGATATTGTATGTAAGTGATGAATCACTAAATTCTATTCCTGAAAACCAATACTATATGTTAACTAACTTGAATTTAAATTTAAAAAAATCCCAAGTTCTTCTATTGTAGCCAACTGTACTTAAACTAGTTAAGCCTTTGACAAGATTGGAGGGAGGGGCAGTAAAAAAGGCAATAAATACTGACATATATGTATATGTTTATATAATGCAAAGTGACTTGTTAAATGGGATTTAACATTATAAAACTGTAAGTACAGATCATTACAATTCATATATATGAAGCTTTAAATTTATAATCCCTTTCCTCAAATAAAAGTGTTACTAAATAAACACAGTATGTTACCTTGTTCAGTTGCTTCTTCTTCTTGTCTCATCCATCCAGACTGTGGACCTGAAGAATTCCTCCCTCGTCTTGAGTAATAGTTTTGTACATCTGCTGGTAGAGTCTTTCTCACAGCCCAACTAGATGCAGATGTCCACCCAGATCTATCTGCCGGTGTATCAAATGAGAACTCTTGCTCATTTTTCCGTTTATAGGGTTGCTGTTCCACAAACTTGAAAGACTCATTCCCTGAACTATTTGAATTCCCTGAGAGGGGTTTTCGGTTTTGCCACCGATTTTCATTCTGATCTGTATAGGCAAAACCACCTCTGTAAGTGCCTCTGCCACGGTTACCTCTACCACGGTTAGACATCCAACCTGAACCAAAGTTTTTATTCCAAGAATTCCCTGAATTTTCATTTCTGTTTTCTTCCCAGTGAGAATCTTTTAACTTTTCTGGATTTCTGGTCCTTGGATCAGGCCCAGAATTTATTTTTTCTGTTACCCAACTGGGACAGTCATTTCTATGTTTGTCAGCAGAATTTGGATCCTCAGCATCTGGACTGATGTCATTTTTTTCTTTTCTTGTATTTTCATTCTGTTTCTCTGGATCATTCTTTCTGTACCGATCATTTCCTCGTGGACATCTCCAACCATCATTTGCCCATCTTTCCTTCCACCGAGGAGAGTAAGTGTCTCTGTCATTTCTACTGAATGATGAACTCTTAATTTTTGTTCTAGATCTTGATGGTGACCTCGAACGAGATCTGGACCTAGACCATCTCCTGGTTCTTCTTTCTCGATCTCGATCTCTCCGTGACCCATCTCTATCACTTTCTCTTTCTCTGCTCCGAGACCTGGATTTTTCTCTTGGGGAGGAATCTTTCACTCTTGACTGAGATCTTCTGTTTTCTCTCGAAGTGTCTCTTTTGGGGGAGAGTGATGCAGATCTTTTGCCTTCCTTCGTGCTATCTCTTTTTGGAGATCGAGACTGAGATCGTCGCCTTTCTTTTGCGATATCCTGCTTTGGGGACTGAGAACGAGATTTTCTACGTCCTCTTGCAGATTCTTTCTTGGGAGATGGTGATCGAGACTTCCTGCTTTCTTTTCCAGTTTCTCTTTTGGGAGATGGAGACTGAGACCGCTTCTTTTCTCGTGCAGTGTCTCTGTTGGGAGACCAAGTTGTAGATGGGGAGTGAAATCTAGATCTTCGGGTACGAGGCTTTTTGGCTTTCTCCATCACATCTACTGGGCTTTCAGATGGCTGAGATACAGTTTCAACCTTTCCATTTGTAGGATCAGAAGATGGCATATTATTTTGAGAACTGTGCTCCACAGAATTTTCATTCAATTGTGTGGTATCAGCATTTACAGGAGGTTCAATTTCAGATTCATTCTGGTCACTGCAAAATGAATCACATTCCATAGGTATCATTTCATTGTTGTCCTCATTAAAATGCTTCTGAATTTGTTCAATGTGTGTGTTAGGCAATTCTGTAGATCTGGAATGTTCAACAGGAGATTCAGTCTTTTCTTCTAAAGATTTGTCTAATTTGGTGTTAAGATTATTTTTTAATAAATTATTTTCAGAGTCTTGAATACTATTCAAACTTTCTTTCTCTGAAGTATCACATGTTGCAATTATTTCTACATCTTCAGTTTCAACATGCTCAAGCAACTGAGCCTCTGAGCCCTCTATGGATTTTTTGCTCACTGTTTGTATAATTCTTCCCTCAGAAGATTCTAATTTGGGGCCATCTACAAGCTGTTCTGTTTTTACTGTTAAATCTTTATGATCAACAATTTCTACTATAGGACTTTCCATAACTTTTTCTTCATTAACCACTGACTCTGAATTCTCTGGTAACTCATCTAAGCTTGGTACAGGTTGGAATACTGCAACTTCAGATCCTGAACATGTAGGAAGATAATTTGAAGGATGATCTGTACATTTGTCTGCTTTTACCTCTGATTCTGAAGGTCCAGATGTTTGGTCTTGATTTTCCAATGGATCACCTCCTTTTCCAGAAATATTTTTAGAAGTCTCACTTTCTAAACATAAAACATTAGCCTCTACACTTGTATTTTCGACTTTTTGAATATCCTCTTCCTCTCCAACTAGTACAGAAGGATCTTCGGTATGAGACCCAGAATATGAAGATTCCACTGCTTCCTCTGTATCATGGTTCTCAGTATGTTCCTCACTTTCTTCTACCTGTTCATTGCAACTTCTCAAACCATTAGCAGACTCATTTTCGACACTTGCTGGCACAGTACAACTGTTACTACTTTCTGCATCTGATTGGTGCTCTTTCTCTAACACAGGTGGTGTGTCAGATTCTGCTGTTTCTTCATCTACTGAATCACTGGAAGATGATTTTTCAGGGGGAGGTATAGAGCTCCGAAGTTTCTTTTTCAATAAAGGTTGTTTTCTTCCTCTTCTTACAGACTTCCGTTTTGGAGCCTGTCTTGTTTGCTTTTCTGACATGGCTGAAGAGGACACACTTACAGATGGATTGTTGTTATCTGGGGCATCACACCCAGAATTATTTGATACTGGGGATTTCTGGGACTGACTGACTGTTTCAGCTCTTGTATTACGTGTAGATCTCCTTGTAGGAGTTGTTGCTGCAGGTTTTCGTCTTGATCCTCTGGTGTTTGATGTACCAGAAGTTTGCTTCTTCTCTTCTCCTTCTTGAGTATGTGCTAATGCATATCCCTTGCAAGAGGTACCTAATGATATATATTTTTTTAAAGTAAAAAGTTTGTTTCAATAAATGATAACAGTCTGGCTTTAGCTTATGTTAGCATAAAATACATGTCTATAATAGAGTGAAACAAAATATACTTATGAATCAAATTATGAATAAGCACATAGCTACTAACATCTAAGTAACAGCAGGTATTTACCTGGTTCTTTTAATGCTATGGAAATGAGTTATCACAAGATTTGAATTCATGTGGGCAATTTAAAGGGGTAAAAAAAAAAAAGAAAATATGTTTGGTCTGACAACTACCATCTTGGTATTACGTAGGCAAAACGTAAGAGGAAACAAGAGTCATCCACAAATATATAAAGACTGAAACTATTTGTTCATAATCAATAGGAGATGTAACTTCTAAAGATCTACATTTTGGACACTGAAGCCCTAAACAGAAAGGAGACTTCTAACCAGTTCCTCAAAGTATTGAAGATGTAATTTCTTAAAGTAAAAAAAAAAAAAAAAAAAAAAAAAAAAAAAAAAAAAAAAAAAAAAAATTCTAACTGGAACAATTTAGAAGTCAATGCCTGTCCAAATATTTACAGAAATACATAGAACTTACTATCTACATTTTATTTTTATAGCTTTTCTAAATCATTAACACTTTTTAGGATATCGAAAAAAGCTAATAATTTTTTAATAACTAGAGAAACATTTCACAAACTTTACCAAAATTTTCTAAAGATATGGGACTTGTTGGAAAAATAGTTCTTGGCAACACAGAAGAGATGAGAGGAAGCACTTGTGTTTCAATATTCCAGGGTCTAAAACCAATTCTGAAAATTCAAAACAAAACAAAGACATTTTTGTTTAAATGTTTTAAAAAAATTATACCAACTATTTAAAATTATTCATTTTTCCAAATGAGGTTAGCAACTTTAAAATACAGTGTACTTAAATGATTTTTTGCCAAAATAAGTAAAAATGTAAATTCAAGGTTACTCATTGTTCAAAGATGGCTGCCAACTGGCTACAAAGAAAAACCTTTTAAAAGCATGTTTTTCTGATAAATTAATGGCAAGAGGGTTGAACGGTAACTTCATATATAATACATGTTTTTCTTTTAAGTAATTGAATGTAATATTTTGTCAAAAAATGTTTTAGCTTTTATTCTTCTCCATTCTAAAAAAAATCAACTTGGATAATAAAATGTGTAAATAAATAAAATGCACAGATTTTAAGTATACAGTTTGATGACCTGTGACTAATATATATATATATATATATATATATATATATATATATCTCTGTGTAAGCACCACCACCACCCCAAACCAAGAAACGGAACATTTCCACCAACCAGAAAGTGCCTTCATGCCCCTTGCACCGCCCCCCTTCCCTTTCTGGACAACCAAAGAGATAATTTAGCCAAGTTAATCAAATCAAGGTTTTAAAGAAATTAGCAAGGTTAAAGAGAAATCAGTCCATGAATAAATAACAAAACTTAGAAACAGAACAGTATCACTTGAATTTGAAGCATATCATACAGACATGGTTATCATATTTTTGTTAGATTTGTTTCATAGCATGTATCAAAAAGTAAAAACATCAAAATATATAATTTTTTTTAGAAAAGAACTGATTTCTATTGCTTTATTATATTGTAAAGTTTCTCAACCTAAGCTCCTAGTGTTCTTATGGACCTAAGTTTCTGCATCAAAATCCAATCCACTCTCAGCTTTTTTCTGATTCTTATTTGTTCAGTTCAGGTCTCCTAACAAAAAACTACTTTATCCAGTATAAGGTGAGATTATGGACTAGGTGGAGAAAAGCTTCAAAAACACTGTGCAACTTGTACACACACAAAAATATATAACTCTGAGATTTTACATTATATATATCTGGACTTCCTATTTTTACTTCTATTGATGCTCCACCATCATCTAGATGGTGAAGGTCCTATGCAGAACTATACTGCAGTTTATATAAGGTAAAGTTATAACGTTACAGGAATAAATATAAAACTCAGGCAAGGACCTTAATCTTTACAAGGGAACTTGAAGTATATATATAATACACCTAGCAATGTGACAGTAGCTTCAGGACTTAAACTAAGAAAGGTCTGTATTATAGAAAGTCATGAATGCCAGGGCAAAGTATAAAGAGCTGATCAAATAGTTATTGAGAAGACTCTTATAGAGATGTAAAGGTCATGACAAAAGCAGTGCATCAGCTAACAGCACAAAGGTAAGATTGGAATGGGGGAAACAGAAGGATGACAGATCTGAATACTATTATTAATAATGAATCTTATCATTTTGGTGCTCTCTCTTTTAAATGATTCAAATATCTTAATACTTATTAAACAGATAAATAGGGGTACTTTTTAAGGAGTTCTTTAAATAGCAATCTTCTTTAGGTATTTGAAACACCACGTTTAATTTGCACAAAACTTTCTTAGAAACACAACTATTGATTAAGATACATCTGTGCTTAAGTATTTTAATGGTATCTTGTGTTCATGTTAACATGCGAACACTTTGGTAAACAATTTTTTTTTTTACCTTCCAATCCCAGGTGATGTATCAGGAAACCATGACAATTCCAATTCCTGTCTCTTCTGCCTAATCAATGTATTCATTTCATTGACCTCTATAAATTCTGTACTGAAAGATAAATTTTAGACCTTCATCAGAACTCCAAAAATTTAAGTTCGGCATAACAAGTGGGTTATATCATGAATAGGAAAAATTTTTGTACCTAACATTATAAACCACATTTAAAAGAAGTACCTTTTTCTAAACACCTTCAAAATGAATTCATTCCTGTAAATTTTTTACATTACAAATCAAAATTATATTGATTTGATTCATAAAAATAATGCTTGAATTTATATCTTAGGTGACAGGATATTTTTAAAAAGTCAATTTAGAATAATATCCATGTTACTGAGAGAAAAAAGCAACACTATTTTCTATGAACCATGAACCAACCATGAACCAAAGCTGTAGCAAGCAATCCCAGTAGAAACTGTATCTGCAACAATTTCCCAACAGAAACTAAGTGTAAGACAAAAGGAAAAAATAGAGGAAGGTATAGTTACTGTAATCAAAATGGATATAGTTCAGCTTTTTAAAAGGCTACTCAGATGTTACTGTTTTCTTTGGTACCTTGAGCCAAGCTCTAAAATTAAATCATACAATCTTAAACCTGTCTTCTTCATTTAACCAAAGCTAAGTGATTTTAAAACCCCAACTTAATCTTCAGATTCCACAAACATCTACTTAGTATCCATATGCCAGTCACTACAGATTCAAAGATGACTGGATCTACTCTAAAAGGGTTCTTCTTGATTACATTTAGCAAGTAGCTTTACTTATCTATCAAATAAAAAGCCTGTGTAGAACAACTCATTATTAATGAAAACAAAACCCACTAGATCATAGGCAGTCATCACATAATACAGAGGGTCACAAAATAATAGGTGATCTCCTTCCTTGAACTAATTTATTTTCCAGAAGAAACAAAAACAAAATACAAGGTGAGCCTTTATGTTTATTGAGCCAAAACTTAAATTTGTACTGGAAGTTAATTATAATAATTAAACATCAAGTATAAAAGCATCCATTAAAAGTAATAAATACTAACCAGTAAGTTCTACAGGTAAAAGAAGATTCTCCAATGTGATTACTAGAAGAAAACATATTGGAGAAAAAATTTCTGAAGCACTGACTTGTACACTGATTTGATCTTCGGGGCTAGAAAAGTAAAAAGAAGTTAGTGAAACAGCAAACAAAAAACCTCCATAATTGGTAATAGTTATAATTTAAACATTTTGATATACCTGAGTTACAGAGTTATGGATTAAACAACCATAAGGTGTTATTATATAAGAAAAAGATTTTTCTTTGTTTGAACAAGCCTTATTAATTTTTTTTAATGTTTATTTTTGAGACAGAGAGAGAGAGAGAGAGAGAGGCAGAGAATCCCAAGCAGGCTCTGTGCTGACGTAGGGCTGGAACCCATGAACCATGAGATCATGACCTGAGCTGAAGTCAGACGCTTAAATAGACTGAGCCACCAGGTGCCCCTATTTTTACAAACCTTATTTATCTTTATTGTTGCATTTTTCTTTCCTTCCATTTCACTGTGTGTAGGGTTTCCTGTACAAAGACATAAAAAGACTCCATTACCTTGTCTTAATTTTTATTTCAAAAGGTTGTAAACCAGTACTGATAGTGGCATATACTGGCATACTGACAAGAGAAAATTAAAATATGTAGAAAAGTTAAATTTAAAATAATAGTATTTGCATTTATATAATTTTTCCAAATGCTAATTTTATCTTGTTAAGCTGCAGGTACAAAGAAAAAGCCACAACACAAAACAACTGGTGTGAAGCATGCTCAGAGCATCAGTATGAAAATTCTAGTCAACATTTTCTGGCAGCATATGCAAACTTAAACCATCTTGTTACAAAAAAAAAAAAAAAATACACATACACACACAAGATGTCAGATTATTTAATATCAGTAACACACTTAATATGTTCTTTCCAGCTATAACCTAAAAATCAGGCAGTTAACTGACCTCAAGTAGGAGCTGACCAGAGAACTGGGATCATCAGCCCTTGTCAACCATAAATTATGATTTAGCTCCTGGCACCAACATCAAGTACCCTCCTTCTTCCTCAAACTTTATAATTTAAAATTAAGAAGTGCAGAAGTGTTGATAAAATAGCCCTCTGTTATAGCAATGTTTATGGCTACACTGCTTATGATTTGGGTGTTTCTGGTTTTACCCGTCACATCTGCAAATTTATTTCAATGGATACAAATTTCCACACTAAGAAAAATAAAGGACAATTTCTGCTAACCACAAAAATTGTGTTAACATCTTTATAGATTACTGCTCCTAGTTGTTCTTCATGAAGCCTATATTAGTAGTCATCTCTACCTATCAATACACTTGTTGTCTGCAATAAACCGCTACTGGTACTATGGTCATTGCTCTCACCTCAGAACTCTAGAAGAAGTGTACAGTGAAAATGACAATAGGTCTTTTCAATCTTCTGCCTTGCTTGCCTCACAAAGGGCCTAGTGACTTTGTTAAAAATAAATCATTCTAGTGAGGAGGCCTGTTTCCTGCTCATGTAAAGACCATATGTATTTGGGGTGTCTTCGGTCAGTCCAGTTGGTAATAGGCTACTTTCTACTTAATAGCATACTAATTTCCATTTAAGTTACTACACAACAGCTGTTTGGTTTCCTGCTATTTTTGCATCCTTCACAATTTTCCCACCCAGAAGTGTTCTAACAAATGTAATTTCAACAATGGGGAAAGAGGGGTGCTGGCTGAGTTCCAGGAGCTTATTTTCTTATTCTTCAATGCATATTTAAAAGATGATAATGATTTTTTTTAATTGCATAAAGAAGCCAGGAATAAAAAAGTGTGATAGGTACCCAGCCACATTCTTAGAAGTAACTATTTCCTTCAGCTAGACATAGTTTTGCTGTGTTGTAGCTATACAGTGTCTTTTACACCCTAATGGGTAGGTAAGGTTTTGTTTTCATTCAGGTTTCATTCATTTACTACTTACTGAGTATACTGCATTTACATAGCATTCCTTCACTTGCAAACCTATCTCAGGAAGCCATTAGAATGCTCTCTACAGGAAGAACTGTTTGTTTTCTGCCAATGTTAAATATGAGTATATAGTCCAAATGGTATTTCACCTATTTCTGGGTAATTTTCAGGTAATTACTGAGCAACTCCAATAACAATCTCAAAAACATTCAATACTGGTGGATTTATCTAAATTGTGGTCTCCTAGAGACCATTTCACAAATCCACCCTACTAATCTACCTTTGGACAGCAATGATAGGCCTTTTCATTTCTTTCTTTATTTTTGAGAGAGAGAGAGAAAGAGAGAGAGCACGCGAGTGCACACGAGCAGGGGAGGGGCAGAGAGAGAGAGAGAGAGAGAGACAGAATTCGAAGCAAGCTCCAGGCTCTGAGCTGTCAGCATAGAGCCCGACGCGGGGCTCAAACGCATGGGCCACAAGATCATGACCTGAGTCGAAGGTGGATGCTCAACCGAGTCACCCAGACACCCCTTTTCATTTCACCCCCCAAGCACCCCTTTTCATTTTTTATCAATAAAGCAATACATGTATATACTTTAAGAAGTCAAACAGCACTTCTAGGCTTAAAGAGAAATTCCCATTCCCTAAAAGCAGTCATCAAATCCCTTCAGTGTTTTTTCTCATATTTGCCTCTTTATTTCTAAATAACATGCTTATACTACTCTACCTTGATTTTTTTGGTTTCAGGTATTTTCTAATTTTTTTTTTTTTTTTTTTTTTTAACCATAGCAGATAAAGGCTTTATTCTTCTACCACTTCCCTACCCACGTCCTTAGGTGCTTCCACCCACTGTTCCTTTTAATATATCAACATTTGATATAAGTAGTACTACATTATTGTAACTATATAAACGTTATTCACAGCTGAACCATGAACTTATTATTTTTCTTTTACAACATCTTGCTTTTCCTAAGGTTAATAACTACTTTATTTTCTCTATATTACCTATCATTGATTTAACTAGCTCTACAAGTATACATTTCCTCTTAATACATCTACCTAGTCTGTTTCCCACTCTCTTAGAAATACTATTCCTTTTTCCTGCTCCAGTCTGAACTGGTAACTCTCTAAAAGTTGTTTAACAGATCATTCTCAACTATCTTCTATCATTCTAATAATCCCATTTATCTTTGTGCTGGGTCGGAACTCATTTTCTGAATCTCACGCTGTTCATTTATTTTCTCATTTAGTGGAGCATGCACACCCTCCAGTAGAAATCTGAGAAAGGGTGTATGAGAATCAATTTTTGAGCTCTTACATGTCTGAGAATGTATTCTACCCTAACACTTGACTGTCAGTTTAACAAGGTTTAGAATGTCCTTGGTTAGTAATTATTTTCCCCCAAATTTTCAAGGCATTGCTCTAGTGCTCCATCCGTTGTTGATAACATTCTTTTATACATGGTCTGTTCTCTCTCCAGAACCTCTTAGGAAATTGTGATCTGCAGTGTTCTGGAATTTGATGAAACATGTCAGTTCTTTCTTAATTTACCAGGTGTTAGGTTAAGTCTTTATCTGGATACTCACACACCCTACTATTCTGAGAAGTTTCCTTTGTAGTAACTTTTCTTGATACGTTTCTGCCTTTTGGCCTTTTTCCTTTTTGAAATTTTATTATTCAGTACTGAACCTCACAGACTAGTATGTTGTCTGGTTAACTTTTCATCCCACTTTCTGAGATTTCTCAGCTTATCATCTATCCCTGAATTTTTAAAATTTCTACTATATTTTTCATTTCCAAAAGTTTTCTTTCTTTAGTCTTTCCTGTTTCAATGAGGAAGTATCCCTTCTCTTATCTCTGGGCATATTAATTTTTAAGTTGTTCCCTATTTCCCAACACTTGGTTTGTTCTATCAGGTTCCTTTTATCTCTGTTTTGACCTCTGTTATATTGGAGGTTTCCCTCAAATACCTGGTGATCCTTAATTTGTGGGACACTAAAATACTGATTGAAAATGGTGAGGATCGGTGGTCAGAGCCTTTCAACTAATGGGTTTCACTGTAGGATGATCAAGCAAAGATCTGGCTTTTTCATTTGTAGACTCCCAAATATCAATATCTCAAGTCTTTTCTCTTAGGCAAGACAATAACCCAGAAGATGTCTCCTATCTCCCACTTTGGAATACACAAGACTGCTAGTGCTTTGGGAAAAGACCATGGGTAGAGAACTAGAGGCCTTAACATTTGCCTTAATTTCCCTCTCTAGGGTTATTTCCTCTAACCTCATTTGTGCCAGAGTTTAATCTGGTTTAATCATTCCTTCTAGAGAGTAAGCCCCCAGTCTTTGCCTGGGTGTAGACTCCTCCCCCTACCCTGTTCAACCAAGAATCTGCAGGATAAAGTCCTTTAAAACATTTTTACCAATTCTGTTTTTTGGCACCACCCATATCTCTGCCTTCAAAGATAATGGAGACCTTCAGATTCAAGACAGTCTAAGGATCTGTGGTATATGAACTGATTTCTTCTGAACTCCACTCTCCCCATGAGAAGTTTAGGTTTCAGCTTTCTGCTAAGACAATTTTTTTTAAGTGAACTCCACGCACAACGTGGGGCTTGAACTCACAACTCAAGAGTTGCACGCTCTACTAACTAGGCCAGCTAGGAGCCCCATCTGCTAAGACAATTTACCATTCACCTCACACAATCACTTTCAAGACCTGTGAACATCTTTTATCTGCTGTCTCTTCTCTCCAGTTCTTTGTCTTGTGGCTTTAAATTTTTCATTCCTTTGTTCTCAATTTGGTAGGGTTTTGGAAAGGATTAGAGAATTAAACAGGTGCTATGCTTATCAATCTGGTATGCTTAGTTGGAAGCTTGTCTTGTTTGAATTCAGCATATCCTAAAACATGTTTCATGAAATACTAATCCCAAAAGATGTTTCATGAAAACATCTTTTTCTACAATAGAAACTAGTATAAAAAAGGTTCTTAGCTTAGAGCCCAGTACTTGGCAGGGACCCAATTACAATTTGATTAATCGATTCCAAAGTTAATAAAGCCATAATTAAATGGATTTAGCATATACTTAAAGGAGTACTCCATTAAGAAATGCCTGAAAAGGGTATACTTTTTATAAACTACATCAATTATAAAATATTAGCCCAAACCAAAGATTAATGTTCATTCTAAGAACAAAGTAGATGAAAGAGTTCAAAATTTAAAAAATATGACAACTCAGTTATCTAGCATTAGTGAAGAATGAAAAGTGACATTTCCTTAACAAATCTGCCAAAAGGTAGGTTAGCTGACCTTCCTCAGTATCTTCAGTGAGGCAACACTATCTTCCTTAAATGAAGAAACTAAATTAAACAGTTTACATAATTTTCCTAGAGTCACAGATGATTTAATGGAAAAACCAGTACAAAACCCAAGAGGCCCAACTTCCAATAAAATTCTCTACGAGGCCTGCTAGACTTTTACTAATGTTATACTAATAATTTATAATCTAGATAAAAAAATTTCATAGCCTCTTATGCTCTATTCATTAGTTTGAGTAGTATATAAGATAAAGATAAATAACTTCAGGCATAAATTCACATTCCTGCTTCTAAAATTAAGCAGTCCCAGGTAAAGGGACAAGGTTTTCTCAAGTTTTTTTACAAAAAGAAATTTAAAGTACCCTTAAGACACAATGGCTCCTGTTCAGTGTAACTGGGTAAAATAAAGACGTATTTAATTTGTATAACTTGCCATTAACTCTACCTTCACATTAACTTAATCTCTTAGTCCTGTAAGACATTTCCTCATAATTAACTGTGTATCAGTACTTCTGTAGTACCTACTCCTAAACTACAATGAAGATTTCTGACTATCCTAAATCAAACAAATAATTCAGGCATCTTAAGTAGGCACAGCACTAGGTTAGAGGCCTTGGACAGTGTTAGATCTTCTGGCAGAATTAGTCTTCTCCCTAAAAGTAAGTCCAGGCAGAAGATATATGCTACAGAAAATTACAATAGTCTTAAAATTAAGATTACTATAGTGAAAGCATGCCACATTATAGCGAGAAAATCTATAACATCATTTAATCTTCCTCAGCAGTAAATTTTATATCAGTTCCTAGAGTTACTGAGCAAAGACTATCCATAAAAAAGGATGCTAATATATAGCAATGACAGAAAAACAAAGTTTTGATATCTAAGGTTTTTAACAAAAGAAAAATGCTATCTGACCATGGAAGTCCTTGTAGTGCAATTCATGTTAATAGTAAATTCAGAGGCAGGAAATGTGAGGATCTATAAACCTGAGAGGTCATGTTAATTCCAATCAGAGAAAGGAACAACATCCAAACTTCATAAATGTATAAAAAATGAGTTGATTATCATTTAAGAACAATGAATTCATTACTTCTATCTATAAATAAAAATTCACTGTACCCTAACCTGCAAAATAAATGCTCACCACTTGTTTACAAACAGCTCAGTAAGTTGTTCTTCTGAACAGCCTCAGTACTGAGGAGGAGTCACAAAGCACTACCATACCATTTTTCTCAGGCCCTACTGCAAAGCTTTCCTGTATGAGAGAACCATGTACTACACAAGAACAAAAGACAGTAACATTTAACTGCTCCTGTAGATAAATATGTAAGAGGTGCTTTGTTTCCAAACAAAGTTTCAAATTAGAAGTGTAGCTAGAGGCCAAACCACAACTTCTGGAAACTGTGAACTACTCACTGTCACAGACCTCCCAGCAACTGTAAGGCTGCTACTTACAGTTTCTGGCCGGCAAGGTATTTTATCTCATCTCCCCTAAGGACTTTTGCACTAATGACTGGGGTAAGACCATGTGCACGCTGCTAACCACCAACTAATTAGAAGACACTCTTCTCTTCCTTTTCTAACACAAACACACATACACATGCGTATACACATGTACTCAATCACAATCTCTTCCCTCCCTCCAAGCAGAGCATAAAAAGGGTTGGGACAGAGAACAGCAAAAACCACTCCAGGAAGAAAACAGTTTACATAGGACTGACACAATGTACAGAGCTCAGTGGCTTCTAGGGATGACTATTTTCCAAACCAAAAGTAAGAACTTTAACACAAATAGTAAAGTAAGAAACAAAAAAAGGTAGGAAATACAAATAAAAAAAAAAAGTCACTTACTGTGTGTTATCTTCAAATCATAAAGTTTTGCACATAATAGATCTTTTATGACTTTTTTCCTGCAAACATCAATAAAGAGGTGAAATAACTAAAAGAAAATTGTCACTCTGCTCATTTATTTACAATTCACCGTCAACCAAAATGAAATTATGCACGAGGTTTTAAATTCTAGCAAAGAAAGCATGACTAGCGGCCACTCCCATTCCTATGACTTACAATGGAGGTTCATTACCAAGAAACAAAAAACCATCCCAATCTCTTCCCCTGGAACTAATAGAAGTATCGGGAAAGGGGGAGGGGGGTGTCAGGGTTTTTTACTGCTTTAGAAGGGAGAGGCAACAATGAATGGATATCTAAGTGCTGTAAAGACTAGGTTACATGCAGGAAATATAAGACTGAATGAGATGCTAAAAACATCCACAGAGTCCAAAATGAATGTACTATACTCAACAGTTGATAGGCTTTCCACCTTGGGAGGAATCATGAAGGGGATGACTTGGTGGATAAAACCAAATTATTATTTCTGTATACCATCCCACTACCACAAATCCCTGAGAAAAAGCAGTCAAACATACGGACTACCTCAGCTGTGTTAGACCCACGATATGACTCTGTTACAGGATGTACAGTGATGACCACTATACTCTCAGGTAGGGTAATTCAGAGAAAGCACAAAAATGCATGTCCGTGACAGTCATAGCTAGTGATAATGTATCAAGAATGAAGCTGCAGAAGTTCTTCAGTGTGCCTGAGGAAAGTGTGCTACTATCTTCTATTTCAAAATAAATGCAAAACTCAAAAACTGACTCATACAGTTAAAAGAAAATCTTAATAAAATTTCTGTAATGCAGTTACTAACTTGGATTTATGGTTGGGCTCTCGGAATGGGTGTCCCATAAATCCCTTAAAATCATATACAAACGTAGGTTTTATGACATGTTTTTCTGGTAGAAGGTGTCTATAGCCTTCTTTAGATTCTCAAAGAAGTCCATAACTTCCAAAAAGAGCTGAAGAGTTGCAGGATTATAAATTGTGGCATGATTTAATAAACCTTAAGAATTACTGTCAACTGTTTTAGTAACTAAATAAATATACTGTTAAGAAATTAATATTCTGATTAAATGTACTAATGAATCAGATTTAGTTAGGTATTTTACAATATATATTTCTTAAGAATACAATTTTGGACAGCTCTGAATATATGTCAGATCAAAATAGGCTTAAATTTTAAATGTATTAGAATATAAGTATTAATAATAAATTAACTTCCAGTATACTATTAACTCAATTTACTCCAAAAAATATGTTAAATACCTATTAAACTCAAGTACTAATAAGCACTATATTTCTAGGCAATTATGTTTTAAAAACAGTACTTAAAGAAATAAATCCAAACATGTTAAAACATTTTTTAAAACACAAATGGTTGTTATGGTAGGCACCAAGTGCCTGCTACACTTGCTACAATACAAAGAAGTAAAATCAAAAAGATAATAAGCAGCTTCAATTGTAACTGTCTCATGAAGAATATGTGCTCTATTATTAGTTACTTCCTACTTTTTGTCCATAAATACTAGAGCAGTGCTACTCAAAATGTGCGGTCAGTGCAACAGTGCTTATTCATTCCTGGTTTGTCATATACAAAAAATGAGTGAGCTTTAACTTATACTGCTATAACATTTTTATTTCACAAAAATATCTGAACAGATTACAGAAAAAAACTAAAACAAAACAATTCATCAAAGATACAATTCAAATTCTACTCTCAAGATTTCAACTAGTCTTTTTTAAAATTACCAAGTATGTGCTTTAAAAGAATTAAATACATTTAAACTCCACATTGTTAAAAAAAAATAAATAAAGAACTTTTTTTTTCTTAATTTTATTTATTTTTTTTTAGAGAGAGAGAAAGTGCAAGTGGGGGAGAGGGACAGAGGGAGAGGGAGAGAGAGAGATCTCAAGGAGGCTCCATACTCAGCACGGAGCCCGACGAGGGGCTCAATCCCATGATCCTGGGATCATGAGCCGAAATCAAGAGTGGGACGCTCAACCAAATGAGCCACCCAGGTGCCCCAGCACTTTTCTTATTAGCTATCTTATGGTTCTACACATTTGGACTCCACTTCTACAGTTCATCACTAACCTCATACAGCTTTTAGAATTTTCACGATAGAAGAGCGGTTTCTTAAAAGAGCTTTCATTTTTCTTGTCTTTTGTTTCTCTCAACTGTCTTTTTACTTGAACCTAGAAGAAAAGCAAAATCATGTATTTAGAGTTGATAATCCAGCATCACAAATGATCACATACCAATTCTCCTTTGAAAGGATAAAAAAATTAAAGAAACAAAAATTGTCTGAATGAAAAGGTAGCCCAAACACACATGCTTATTCATTCACAAGCATGCTAAACCATAAGGCTAGTAGTAAGTGTGCTAAGCTCTGGGGAAACAAAATAGTGAGAGGCATGTAAACAGATAAAGTGCTCATGAGCGCAGATCTATTTATACATGTAGGACTAAGAAATTAACTCTATTTGAGGATAACAGAGAAGACTTAAATGAGTAGGTAATTTATGAGTTGGTCTTAACAAGTAGGAATTTATCTAAGGAAAAAATATTCTGATTGGAAGAACAGTGAGAAGCCAATACAGACAGGGAAGAAAATATCAGCAGGATATAAAGTTGATGTAATATATTAGGACCACACTGTAAAGACCCTCAAATAAGAAAACAATTCCATGGGAACCAGGAAATAAATGGAGTTATTAAAGCAAGTGAATAAGATGATCAAACTTGATTTTTAGGATAAGCTTTGCCAGTGATGTGGAGAATGAACCAGTTAAGGAGAGACAATAAAGGCCAGGAAACCAGAAGAAAGTTCTTATAATTGTGTAGATCTATACTGTCTGAGACAATAGTTGTTAGCCGCACGTGGCTACTGAGCCCTGAAATGTGGCTTGTTTGAAATGAAATTGTACCTTAAGTGTAAAATATACACTGGATTTCAAAGACATAGAACAACAAAAATAGGTAAAATCTCTCAATAATAATCCTTTGAAAATACTATATGTACTCATATTACATATGTTAAATAAAATATATCGTAAAATTATTTTTTACCTGTTATCTTTTTACTCTTTTAAAGTGGGTACTAAAAATTTTACAGAGTGGCTTGTAGTATATTTCTATTGGCAGAACCAGTATGGATGACAGCATAAGAGCCTACAAAGAAGTAACAAAAGAGGAATGAAAAAGAAACAAATTTAAGATAGTACACAGGAGGACTAGGCAAAGATGATGGAGAGAGAAAAAAATGGAAAACTCCCAGATGAATTCTGGATTCTAAATAGGGATGACCACAAGTAGTTAAAAACATAAATCTGGGGCGCTTGGGTGGCGCAGTCGGTTAAGCATCCGACTTCAGCCAGGTCACGATCTCACGGTCCGTGAGTTCGAGCCCCGCGTCGGGCTCTGGGCTGATGGCTCAGAGCCTGGAGCCTGTTTCCGATTCTGTGTCTCCCTCTCTCTCTGCCCCTCCCCCGTTCATGCTCTGTCTCTCTCTGTCCCAAAAATAAATAAACGTTGAAAAAAAAAAATTAAAAAAAAAAAAACAAAACCATAAATCTGGTTCTAAGGAAAGAGGTCTCGGCTAGTGATAGAATTTTAGAAGCCATACAAACATAGGTAAGAGTTTAAAGCTACTGGAGTACTTGAGAAGACTTAAAAAGTATCCCTAGAAAATTGAAAGGCATTTAAAATTTAACAAATTATTTCTAAAAAGGCAGAGAGATAGGAAAGAAGATTGTGAAAGAGCAGATAAGTAAAACAAGCAAGCATACATACAAACATTCATAAAAGGATATCCTATAATAGACCAAAGAAAATAAAGGGCAGTCAAGAGCACCACATGCAGAAAACAAAAAATTATTCTGAACCTTAGTGAGGAGAGCTTTAGGAAAATAAAACAATAGGGGTGAATGTTCAATGGGAGTTGAAAAGCAATTGTGAAGAGGGAACCAAGTACTGCTATCTCCTTCAAGTTTAGTTGGAAAGGGATAAAGATAATAAAGTGAAGATTCAGAAGTAAAGGTCAAAAGAAAATATTTAAGAGTAGGTAGGTAATATCATGCCATAAGAAATATTTTTTAAGTCTAACCAAATTAGGCTAACACTACACCAAACTTTTAATTTAAGTAAAATATAAACCATATTAAATAAAACATAAATTTCTATTCCGAGCAACAAAACAGTATTTCACATGAAGCAACAAAACAAAATTTTATAGGAAAATATCTTTGGAAGTTAGTTCATGACAATACATATTCAGCAACATAATATACATAGTCTGGAAAAATAGAGAATCTGTCTTTCAGAGAAGCCATGCTTTAAATTTGATCATAATATTACACATTTATACAATGTTGTATCTTTTCTCTAAGACATACTAATTTATATAAATTAATTTAATAGAATTAAATAGCATTACAACAAGGAAAATCATTTTTTACATATGTTGTTTTATTTGAATTGCAGTCTCATTTGTTCCTTATGCCAATGAGACACATCTGGTAAGAATATATCAAAACAAATTATAAATATCTACACTGAGGTATTTATATGCTTAAATAGCTGTATGTTGCTTCCAAGCTATTATGGACTTATAGTGCTATTTGAGAACAGTTTTTCCCCCCATCAACAACATCACATTTATATATAGTAAGAATTCTTCTTCTTCTTCTTCTTCTTCTTCTTCTTCTTCTTTTTTTTTTTTTAAATAAACTGTACCCACAACGTGGGGCCTGAACTCACAACCCAGAGATGGAGTTGCATGCTGTACTGACTGAACCAGCCAGATACTCCCAAGAATTCTTAATTCTTAAAGTAATTTCAGCTATACACCATTCCTGACTTGTTAGTGATACCTCAAGAAATCTTTTTCTCATACAGTTTACTCACTCTCCTTTTCTTTTCACCTTTTACTCACTGACTCAGGAATATGTTCCTATTTCTTTTTACTTCTTTTATTTATAAGCCAAAAATAAATCTAAATACAAATCATAATCATGGTTCATAATAATAAATAACATCAACAAGGTATGTATATGTGAATTTCATGAAAGTGATTAGGATTAAGCATTACAATAAAATTGTACTTCATAAAAGAATAAAGTCATCTGCCCATGCCAACCTGGAAACTATGAGAAGTCTCTCAGGATCCCTACAAACCCCCTTATCCTTCTCTAATCACTCACTTTCCTTCAAGCAGCAGCATTTAAAAGCAAAGACACCATTTTTAGTTTTATTGGCTTACTCTTCCAAACTGTGATGTTTTTCATGAAAAACAATTTGTGGGTATTTTGAATTTAAGCTTTTGTGTGCTTGGTTTTTGAATCTAATATTCCATTTCAAACCCCTTTTCAATGAAAAAAGTATTCAAAGCACAATCCAATTAATCAGTAAATGTTTCTGACATACAAAAGTCCTTAAATATCTTGCAATTAACACTAAATGTGAAACTTCTTTTAAACCATCTAAAATTGTGGAAAATGATAAGGTGACCACCATGGATTTGACCTCTTTAACGAGGACAAAGAAAACAAAGGTTCACAATTTTTGTCCTTGTAGTAAAGCCTAGGCTTTACATGCTGAAGAGAAATAATAATCACAGATTAAACCTAAAGTTGAACAATTCATAAATATACTCAAACTGAAAATCTATTAAAGCAAAATCATCTCAACTAAGTTTATATGGTTCATGTTGCAAAGTAAAATATAAGCTTTACCTTAACACAACCTTCCAATGCACTCAATTTAAACACTGCTTGAAATGGTTTTCGATCAACAGGACATGAAGCCAGTATCTGAAAAATGATTAACAAATTATAACTTTATAAACCTTTCTTAGATCAACATTAAACTATAACACATTAAGCTTTCCACTAGAATAAAGGAAATAGAAAAATAATTTTTTCTTCTTTCAAAGATAAAATACTTTCCACTTGTACCATGTCACAGTAATAAATACCTTAAACTTGTTCAATTCATTCAAATGTTTACTGTGCTCCTACCCTACGCTAGGTTAAGCGCAATACAAAGATCAACGAGAGATAAATCTGTTATCAAGATAATACCTACAAAGACCTGCTTGCCCAGTTGAGAACTACTGGCAATTTGAAAGGAGAACTAGACTGAAATCAACAGCTCTGAGATCTAAAGAAAATACTTGGGCAATTCTAAGTCAGAGGTAGAAGGAATGCCTTGGGCAGGTCCCTTACAGATTTTAATTTTTTATGACTTAATTAATTTCTCTCCAAATCAATTATTTTGAATAGACAGTTGCACCAGCAAGTCATTCCTTATACTATCCTTTAGGAGATATCCAATGCATATATACATATACGGTGTACCTTCTTAATATACAGCTAAACTGAATTTTGTTTTTCTCTTAATTATGTACCTTACATTGGTTTATATTACTATTTCTGAGTGGCCCCATTCTTAATAGCACGATATGCTGTAACAGTTTCAATTTACATTTCCTTTTTTATAAGTAAGATTGAGCGTATTTTCCTATTTTTAAGGGCTTTTCAAAATTCCTTTTCTTTAAATTGTTTATTCACGCCCTTTGCCTAACCTTGTTATTAGGTTGCTGGTCTTTTTCAAATAGAAATGTAGGCATTCTTTATAGATTAAGGAAAATTGTCTTTTGATCACTCTGATTCTAAATGAACTTTATTTTGATAAAAATACTATTTTCCTGTACTTTCAAAATTAATGTGTATCAACTATTAAGTGTTTCTCTGTTAATACTATTTAAATATTTGTATAGGTTTATATTATTTAAATAATTTAAGGGCCATCTGGCTGGCTCAGTCAGTAGAACATGCAACTTTTGATCTCAGGCTCATAAGTTTGAGCCCCACGTTGGGTGTAAAGATTACCTTAAATATAAAAAAAAAAATCTTATTTAAATAATTTAAAATGGAGTATATTGTCCACTAGGGCAGGAGGGAAGATTCTCTACAATATGAAAATACCAAAAGGTGACATGAATACACATGATTACAAAAGTAAAACAGGATTTTAACAATGTAATTAGCAATACTTTAAAAGACCACAAGATAGTAATGGAATTTTGACAAATTATCTTATGTTCCCTAGTGAAAAATGTTGTGATTTTTGCCTTTCTGGACCTTGGAAGATACCAAGATATGCTTATACAAGTTCAGATAGATCAGACAAATGTCGCCTCTAGTCATAGAATACATTTTCACAAAGTCTGTGAATCACTTTGAGAGCAGCCAAAATATAAATTGAGTTACTTTACTACTGTGCTAAAAAGTAATTTTTATTTTCCTGTTAAGTAAGTAGGCCTTGAAAAAATGCTTTACCACATCTGAATTAGGAAATGTGACCTTACTAAATTAAATCGGTTCAGACTGGTAGAAGCCAGCTCATCTTAGTTCCAAGTACCATGGATTTAGGATGCTATTACTTTCCCTACAGAAAACAACCTTAAGAAGCTTTGCAACAAGTAGTGACATAAAGCTGTCCATATCTTTTTTAAAACTGCACTGCAAATAGCAATTCTAGTTCAAAGAATTTGACAATGTGAATGTTTACATTAGCATTTACTGTATGAAATTTCTTAAACTAGAATTTGTATTAATATATTTATAATTAAAAAGAATATTTAAAAGTAAAATCTTTCACATACTTCTTATAAATAACCAAAGTTTCAGAGTATACTTATTTCTATTTCAAAGGTAAATTTAGATAAACATTCATAAAAAGATAAAACAATGCTTCCTTCATTTTTTTTTGCTTCCTTCAATGTTTAAAAAAAAAAATTATTAAGAAAGATGTACAGAAGCTCTGGATTGCTGTCTACTTTCAAATCTTGCCCTAATGTATAACCTTAAGCAAGTTACACAGACTCTATGTATCTCAGTTACCTCATTTGTGAAAATGGGGATAACAGAACTTATCTCTGAAGTTCTTAAGGCAATCAACGGAATTAGTTTAGAAGTGTATGGCATACATTAAGCATTGGGTAAAGTCTTCTAAATATCAACTAACTTCACTGAACAACAACAACAAAAGATTGGTTTATTAACAAAAATGATAATACAATATGATGTATTATGATACATGCATGTGAGAGACAGGAGTTCTTAATGATTTTCTGTTGGGTTTGCAAAGTTCATGGCATACATGGAAATTAAAATGTTTCATTTTACTATATCTATTTCAATTTGTAACACTAAGATCTAAAGAAAGCCACTGTGTTCAAGAAATTACTCTATATCAGATGCACCCAATCGTTCAAAAACTCTGAAATTGCATAATCTTATTTTCTTATTAAATTTTCTCGGATGACATCAGTAAGTGGCACTCTTGCCTTTAGTGTTCAAACTAACAGTTTCAACCTGAGCCATTCCATTTTGATCTGTTTCAAATAATGGGGTTCTGAGTAAGATTTTGTTTTTGTTCTTTTTTCCTTAAGCATAACTGCCACAGATTTGTTTCAGGTTTCATCTGAAGAAAGGGTTCTACTGCTATTACAAAATGAAAGAAAACAGAAAAAAGTAGTTGGAAAACCACTGATCTATATTATCACAATCTGTATATACTTAAAGTTTCTAAATCTAGTTGCTACTAGAAAATAAGTAAGTAGGTTTTCTTTGGCTCAGGCTCGGCCATCGGAAAAAATGCTGAAAACCAAGTTATCCTCCTCAGTTAAGGAAAGCACATGTCAGAAAACAAGCTACCTATAGTAGACAAAGTACATTTGCAATGGCTGTTGAGAAATGATGGTATACCTTTCTGACCTTAGAAGAGTTTAACAAAACATTTCAGAGGGGAAACAGAAAAGAAATTCAGTTATCCTCAAGTCTTCATTGAATACTTCAATAAATTAAGACTAAAGAAGAATGAAAAAGAAATCAAAACATATTTTTAAAAATTAAGAGGATCTTTAATTTTTTTGTTAATGTGTACTATAATAAAAGTACAAGGCTACCTTAACATGGCAAAGTTCAAAGACACCATCATTGGCAGGTATTAATAAAATTACACATTAATTTTTGTAAATTTTTAATTTTTGTAAATAAAATTTACAAACAGGTTTTTGAAAATGGTTTATACTGTCTTACTTTTAAGGCAGTCCCAAGGGTATTTCACGCTTATAATCCAGCAGATATCCATTCAGAAAATGTCAGATATTTTATTTAGTTTTCATAGTTTGTTACTAACATAACTAATTTTGTTTTTAAGTTGTAGGTTTTTAAAAATACACATTTAAACTAAAGTAGAAAATTTTGAATATACTTAATCGTGCTTAAAAAATATGACTTTAGTTTTGAAGAAAATTATCCCAAATTTTGTTTTCCTTATATACAACCAAAATAAAAACCCCATGATTGTTTGCCATTTTTATTCCTTATATACAATAAAAATTAGTCTTCAATTAATCACCTATTTAAACCAATATGACTCTCATTTCAATACTTTGTAAGTATCTAATTTAGTTTCATAAAGTAATTCAATCACCATTCAATTTTGTGATACAGCTACAAAATTAATAGAATATGATCACTGCTTTACACCGTAATGTGTATTAAAAAACAGAGCATACATTTTATTGTGAATGCTCTGTACTAAGGCTGTATCAGTTAAGTAGGCAATTTTGCTAGGAAAAAAAAATCTTCCTAATGATTTCAGTAAAACATACCCTAGTATTCTGAAGCGTTGTAAATTCCCAGCTCAGACAAACCCATATTTAAATGTAAGAACAGGAAACCTTCCTTATTTGGAATTCAGGATTCTTGATTTCTAATATTTCTTGCTTCCTGTTGCTGCTCTATCCTCAATCACAAAGGCTGCCTACAGATAGCCCCTCCTAAAGAGAGAGAAGCAAGTGTTAAAGATAAGTGCTTAAAGACTAAATCTCAGTACCTATGCTTATTAAGTAGGTTTGTCTGTTCATGGGAATCTCTAGAAAATCTATCTTTCCTTCTAACAAATAGAGCATGTTATATAAAACTACAGTTCAAAAGCAAATAAAGATGATTTAGGAATGCATAACATTAGAGGCTTATTTTAAATCTGTTTACAAGAACTTATTTTTCTTGTTGATGGTACCAATATACCTAGCCTGGACCTCCAAAGAAAGTGCTCACCTGTAGTCAGACTACATGTTCCCTATCACAATTAACCACTTCTTTCAATACATCCTTGTCAATCCATAATTAGTAAAACTGTAGGTTTTTTTTAACAACTCTCAGGAATGTATTCCTAAAGGACAAATGACTGTCGGTGACAAAATTAACACCAAGAAAGCATTTGATCTAACTACTCAAAAGGAACCCCTTCACAAGACACAACAGTTGGGTAAGAATAACTTTTAGGGGCGCCTGGGTGGCGCAGGCGGTTAAGCGTCCGACTTCAGCCAGGTCACGATCTCGCAGTCCGTGAGTTCGAGCCCCGCGTCGGGCTCTGGGCTGATGGCTCAGAGCCTGGAGCCTGTTTCCGATTCTGTGTCTCCCTCTCTCTCTGCCCCTCCCCCATTCATGCTCTGTCTCTCTCTGTCCCAAAAATAAATAAACGTTGAAAAAAAAAAAATTTTTTTTTTAAATAAATAAAAAAAAATAAAAATAAAAATAAAAAATGTGTTCAAATGTAAAAAAAAGTCTTTGCTCTATCAAAGGTTTTTACCAAAGGATTAATCCACAAGGTGAAAACCATAGGGGATTTGGAATAATTAGTCACATTCCAAGTTCTGGAGGGCTCAGAACTAGCAACCTCTCTTATCCACTTTAAGTATGAAGGTAGACAGTCCTGAATCACCAATTGCACGAGT